ACAGAAAACCCACACACAAGTATAAGGGGTATTTCCAATGAACAAGAACTTAGTTACTACTCTATTCAAAACATTGTATCTAAAAACAATATGCACCCTTATCATATCCAAAAGCACTAAGAATTAAATAATGCTGATTTTCAGAAACGAATAGTATTTTGTGAATAGGCCTTAGAAAAAATTAATGAGTAGAGAGATTTTTTTGATTATGTCCTATTTGGTGATGAAGCTACATTCCATCGAAACGGTTCTGTTAATAGGCATAACTTTCACTACTATTTAACAAGTAATCCAAACCACATAGTAATACATAGTCAAACAAGATGGTATCTAAATGTGTGGAGAGGTATCGTCGGTAACCATGTAGTAGGTCCATATTTTTTTTGAGGATATCTTAAATGGTGAGATTTATTTAGATTTTATCGTAAATCAGTTACCGATATTATTAGAAGAGGTTCCACTTAATATACGTGAACAAATGTGGTTTCTACATGACGGTGCTCCTGCGGACGACAACAAATTAGTATGTGGTGAACTTAATGATCAGTTTGGTGAAAGATGGATCGTAAGGGATGGACCGGTAAGGTGGCCCCCAAGGTCACCATAATTCAATAAAATGGACTATGTTTTTGGGGTTACGTTAAGAACGAAGTATATAAAATACCTCCAACAACAAGGAAGGATATGAAAAATAGAATCCGAAGTGCATTTCAAAATATTTCTTTACAAATGCTTAGTAATGTAAGCAACTCTTTCAATGAACACCTTACTTAAGTAAGATAATTTAAAATTACTGTTGTTTTTTATTTTTCTATGTGTTGTTATTTTTTTTTTAATTTTCCGTCGGTTATTTTTTATAAATTTTATTTGAAACAAATTGTTTTCATTTCTACGACGTTATTTAGTTACTTTATTAATAAACAATAATGTCAAATTGTCAGTTTCTGACAAATCAACCATGACCACCTCACAATAATTATTGGTAAACGTTAAAATATCTACCAAATTAATACTTTGATGGAAAAATAAAAATATCTAGAAAACTGATTACTTTATGTATAGGGAGTACTTTATAAAATTTGAAGTACGATACTAGTACTTTTCGATAGTGATATAAAATACAGGGTGTTCTACGAGCCCTAACAACTATAATATGTTGGAACAAGCAGTTATTTTGCGAATATAATGCCAATTTACCAAAATTATTTTATTAATTTTTTTTAACTGCGAATATGAAATTAACAACATTTTTTATGATGTATGGAATTATTTTTGCGTCTTAATTATATATTTTATATTGAATACTATGTAATTAATTGTTTGGTAATCGAAAACTGCTGACAACTAAATGTTGGAACACATTTCTTAAATTTTATCAGCCTGACACAAAGAAGGCTTTGAAATCAAATATACGAGTAGGTAGTGCGTTGTCAATAATAATTGCCATGGCTCATTTGAGTATGAATAAAGACAACTGTCAGTTTTAGTAAAATATAAAAATGGAATGTGGAAACCCTACTTATCCAAAAATTCCAGAAATTATTATTCATCATTACCATGAAGGGAAAACAATCTGTGAAATTTCCAGTGAATTAACTGTAGCAACAACTACGGTGTTTAATCTAATTAATAAATATGGTGAAACTGCCAGTATTGATGTTGGCATTAAAAGCCCAGGCCCTCCAAAAGCTGTTTCTCAGAGTGTAGATAATTCCAATATGTAAGTCGGAAAGCGGTCTTAGTTTTTATAAGGTAGGTTTGATAGGTTCTTCTTTGCAATATAAATTTTCTGTTTTTTTATTTATTCGAGTAGGTCAAAGAAAAACCATTGCTGATGGACACTCAGAAAAGGAATCGTTACATTTTGGCTAAATCAAAACTTTCGTGGACCAAACATAACTGGGACAAAATTATCTATGGCGAGGAAAGCAAATTTGATGTCTGTGTGGGAGATTATAAAAGCGTGTGATTCAGCAAAAAGTGTAATTCGAGAAGTATCTCATAAGGATTTTCTCTAAAGAACTGTAAGTTTCCACAGGGCACCATGGTGGGGTGTATGTCAGCAAAAGAGTTGGGAACATTACATTTTATTGAGGCCATAGTACACTCGAAGATTGGCCTCTACCAAGCGCGGCATAGTCATATCCATTCAGAGATTTTATCTTTCAGCAGGACAGAGACTCCTGCCATACAGCTAAATCTACCAAATATGGTTGGGATAATATGACATTAAAGTTTTGTCACATCCTTCCTGCAGCCCGAATGTTAATCCAATGGAGGCACTTTGACACAAAATGAAACAATGATTAAGAGATATCACTCAGCACACTTTGCCACAACTACGTGCTAAATTACAAGAAATATGAGCTAGTTTCACGCCTGAATTCTGTGAAGGCCTAGTTGGTAAATCCCTAATAGAGTTCAGGCTGTTTTCAATCTAAGGGCGACGTTACAAATTATTATTATTTATTTTAATATGGTAAAATCCTCTTGTTCCAACATGTAGTTGTCAGCATGTTTTGGCTATCAGACAACCAATTAAATAGTAATCAACAAAAATTAATTAAACTGTAAAAATAATTTCATATATCATAAAAAATGTTGTTAATTTCATATTTACAATTAAAAAAAAATAACATAAAAGAATTTCACTAAATTGGTATTTTATTTGCAAAATAACTGCTTGTTCCAAGATATAGTTGTTAGGGCTCATATTAAAATTTACCAAGAAAATAATGTACTTGTCTTTTGACTTACCCTGTATTTGATTTAATGAATATTATGAAAACGAATATGTTTTATAATTTTTAACAATTATTAAAAAACTATGGTTGCCATAGATCAATGTTTCTATACTCATTTTTAATTATACTGGGAGTTAAACTTGATACGATTTTCAGGTAATATTGATTATAACTTTTTAAATACCCAGTATAACATAATAATACTTTAAATTGTTGTAATGTGGAAGTAAAGCAGTTTCAAATTTAAAATAAAATACAGGGTGTTTCATTAAAAAAAACATAAGTTTGGTCTGCCACCATCTTTTGGAACATCCTGTAAGATTGTAACTAATTTTAAAATGTGGTGTTTAAAGCTGCCTACAATTTTTGTCAATAACTTTTTTTTGTAATTTTGACTATAACAGATCTACTGAGCTTCCTCACACTAATCAATATATATATATATATATATATATATATATATATATATATATATATATATATATATATATATATATATATATATAAATATATATATATATAAATATATATATATATATATATATAAATATATATATATATAAATATATATATATATATATACATATATATATATATATATATATATATATATATATATATTATATATATATATATATATATATATACAGCAGATACAGATAGCAGAACTATAACAGATCTACTGAGCTTCCTCACACTAATCAATCACTCATATATATATATATATATATATTATATATATAAATATATATATATATATATATATATATATATATATATATATATATATATATATGAGTGATTGATTAATGTGAGGAAGCTCAGTAGATCTGTTATAGTCAAAATTACAAAAAAAAAGTTATTGACAAAAATTGTAGGCAGCTTTAAACACCACATTTTAAAATTAGTTACAATCTTACAGGATGTTCCAAAAGATGGTGGCAGACCAAACTTATGTTTTTTTTTAATGGAACACCCTGTATTTTATTTTAAATTTGAAACTGCTTTACTTCCACATTACAACAATTTAAAGTATTATTATGTTATACTGGGTATTTAAAAAGTTATAATCAATATTACCTGAAAATCGTATCAAGTTTAACTCCCAGTATAATTAAAAATGAGTATAGAAACATTGATCTATGGCAATCATAGTTTTTTAATAATTGTTAAAAATTATAAAACATATTCGTTTTCATAATATTCATTAAATCAAATACAGGGTAAGTCAAAAGACAAGTACATTATTTTCTTGGTAAATTTTAATATGAGCTCTAACAACTATATCTTGGAACAAGCAGTTATTTTGCAAATAAAATACCAATTTAGTGAAATTCTTTTATGTTATTTTTTTTAATTGTAAATATGAAATTAACAACATTTTTTATGATATATGAAATTATTTTTACAGTTTAATTAATTTTTGTTGATTACTATTTAATTGGTTGTCTGATAGCCAAAACATGCTGACAACTACATGTTGGAACAAGAGGATTTTACCATATTAAAATAAATAATAATAATTTGTAACGTCGCCCTTAGATTGAAAACAGCCTGAACTCTATTAGGGATTTACCAACTATGCCTTCACAGAATTCAGGCGTGAAACTAGCTCATATTTCTTGTAATTTAGCACGTAGTTGTGGCAAAGTGTGCTGAGTGATATCTCTTAATCATTGTTTCATTTTGTGTCAAAGTGCCTCCATTGGATTAACATTCGGGCTGCAGGAAGGATGTGACAAAACTTTAATGTCATATTATCCCAACCATATTTGGTAGATTTAGCTGTATGGCAGGAGTCTCTGTCCTGCTGAAAGATAAAATCTCTGAATGGATATGACTATGCCGCGCTTGGTAGAGGCCAATCTTCGAGTGTACTATGGCCTCAATAAAATGTAATGTTCCCAACCCTTTTGCTGACATACACCCCACCATGGTGCCCTGTGGAAACTTACAGTTCTTTAGAGAAAATCCTTATGAGATACTTCTCGAATTACACTTTTTGCTGAATCACACGCTTTTGATAATCTCCCACACAGACATCAAATTTGCTTTCCTCGCCATAGATAATTTTGTCCCAGTTATGTTTGGTCCACGAAAGTTTTGATTTAGCCAAAATGTAACGATTCCTTTTCTGAGTGTCCATCAGCAATGGTTTTTCTTTGACCTACTCGAATAAATAAAAAAACAGAAAATTTATATTGCAAAGAAGAACCTATCAAACCTACCTTATAAAAACTAAGACCGCTTTCCGACTTACATATTGGAATTATCTACACTCTGAGAAACAGCTTTTGGAGGGCCTGGGCTTTTAATGCCAACATCAATACTGGCAGTTTCACCATATTTATTAATTAGATTAAACACCGTAGTTGTTGCTACAGTTAATTCACTGGAAATTTCACAGATTGTTTTCCCTTCATGGTAATGATGAATAATAATTTCTGGAATTTTTGGATAAGTAGGGTTTCCACATTCCATTTTTATATTTTACTAAAACTGACAGTTGTCTTTATTCATACTCAAATGAGCCATGGCAATTATTATTGACAACGCACTACCTACTCGTATATTTGATTTCAAAGCCTTCTTTGTGTCAGGCTGATAAAATTTAAGAAATGTGTTCCAACATTTAGTTGTCAGCAGTTTTCGATTACCAAACAATTAATTACATAGTATTCAATATAAAATATATAATTAAGACGCAAAAATAATTCCATACATCATAAAAAATGTTGTTAATTTCATATTCGCAGTTAAAAAAAAATCAATAAAATAATTTTGGTAAATTGGCATTATATTCGCAAAATAACTGCTTGTTCCAACATATTATAGTTGTTAGGGCTCGTAGAACACCCTGTATTTTATATCACTATCGAAAAGTACTAGTATCATACTTCAAATTTTATAAAGTACTCCCTATACATAAAGTTATCAGTTTTCTAGATATTTTTATTTTTCCATCATATATAAATATATATATATATATATATATATATATATATATATATATATATATATATATATATAAGAGTAAGAAAAAAGAAGTACTTGTGACTCGTTTGGAAAAAATATAACACTGTTTTTGATGGGTTGGAGTCAATAAAAGGGGCTATTTGTTGACTATTTTTTACTCGAGCTTTCAATTGTGATTACAATTTTTTATCAAGAGCTTCTAAAAAATACAAAATGTCTTACAAAGTTGAACTTTCTAGTTCAACTTTGTAAGACATTTTGTATTTTTTAGAAGCTCTTGATAAAAATTGTAATCACAATTGAAAGCTCGAGTAAAAAATAGTCAACAAATAGCCCCTTTTATTGACTCCAACCCATCAAAAACAGTGTTATATATATTATATATATATAATATATATATATATATATATATACAGTGGTGAGTGCTTTATCAACCGGCTTTTTAACGTAAGAGATAGAAAACACAGTTACCTTGCGAAATAAAAAGAGATGAAACTCGTAGAGGTGGGAAATAATCGATAGAAACCTATAATTTACATTACATTGCATTAACACTATCGATAGTCTCACACCTTTAGACGTTAGCTTCCAGCTAAATCACCTCGGTCATAATTATTATTTGTGACATCGTATGTGTAACATATTTCAGTGACATTTTTTAATTTCGCATAAAGTAAAAAATGATTGACCACAATAAAGCAAAAATGTGAATAAAATAAATAAATTAATAGTGATTATTTAATCTAAAATTTTAAATTATTAACCAAAAATAATTTCTATGATTTGAGGAGTTTCATACACTCTTGTCACGGAAATAAACATCAGTCCTTCGTGGATTAGTGGTAACAATTCGACACTGCGACGCAGACGACTAGAGTTCAAAACCCATATGTGGTTTTCTTTTTTTTTTTTTAATAATTTGAAATTATGCAGAGATCGTTTTGATTTGAATCACTAAACATTTATGTCAGTCGTTACTAGTATTAGAAGTGTTTAAAGTTACACATAAATATATTTTTGAATTTGAATTATTTTGTATTTCTGTTTTATAACATTGGAATAAAAATAAATTATAAATAATGAGTTTTTTCGAAAACTTGTTACCTAATATGTATAATATTTTCTATTATTTTTTGATTGAGTAAAACAAAAATTTTATCCTTGGTGGGAATTGAACCCCAATCTTCTTGTCAATAGACTACGTGTCTAATAATTACACCAACTCCACATACAATAATTAGTATCGGACAGAACATACCTACCTTTAGTTTAGTCAAATATTTCAGTTGAGTTATTTTTATTATTAAATAAACTTAAATATTTATAATTTAAAATCGCTACTAATTAATGTTTTTTACTTTAATTCTTAATTTATTCAATCATTTATTCTTACATCAGAAGATATTAAAATAAAATATTTTCGCGGTCATCCGTATAATTATGACTGAAGTCAAATAGCCACGTCTAAGAACTAGCTTTATCTCATTCTTTCTCACAAAATCAATCTTCTATCCTTTCCGCTATTTTGCCGGATTTTAAAGCGACTTTAAACACTTCTAATTGCTTCTAATACTATAATAACGTCTAAAGGTGTGAGACTATCGACGGTGGTAATGTAATGTAATGTAAATTATAGGTTTCTATCGATTATTTCCCACCTTTACGAGTTTCATCTCTTTTTATTTCACAAGGTAACTGTGTTTTCTATCTCTTACGTTAAAAAGCCGGGCGATAAAGCACTCACCACTGTATATATATATTTTTATTATATTATACTTTATATATATATATATATATATATATATATATATATAATAAATTTTTATTATATTATACTTTATATATATATATATATATATATATATATATATATATATATATATATATATATACAGATTAAACGAATTTAAAACGGATCATAGAATTTAATATATGTCTGTTTAAACTGCATTTGAAATAGGGGACCAATATAAAACTTGGACAAAAATAAATCCATACCCGGTGATAGACATTGTATAAAAGATCGTTCAACTATCTGTCTCCTTTTAGGACGCACCATAGTCTATAGTGCCGCCCAAAGTCAATGTTGCCAATCGCCGTGTAATAATCCGATTTGCGGATCTTTTTGAGAGTTATATCTTCTTCGTATCTTTAAATAAATCGGATATTTGCCTATATTTTTCATTGTATTTACCAATCTACTACAACAGACTAATAACACAAATAAACTTAATGGTTTGTAAATATTTTATGGTTAACACCTTATTTGAGAAACATCTGGAGGAATGAGATTGGCAACACCACTCAAAATATCCATCTGATTGCTTAGATAAACGAAAGAGGGGCTTGCCTAAAGAAGCGATAGGTGGTTTGACAGCATAATAAAATCCTAGATTTATGTGTAGCTTTCAATTTTTATACATGATGGGTGGTGCAACCTATTTGGGTGGAGTTTTGACTTATTCTTGAATGATTTCAGAATCCAGCAGCCCGCTGAAGTATTGGATTTTTATAATATAATTATTTGACAACCTTTTGTTCGCCAACCACCTAGAGTGGAGTTGAGCCGAAATACATATATTTCGTATGTTCCGAATTTATCTAGTTCAATCTGTATATTTGAAAAAAATTGTAAACTTTTTACAAAAATCTTTGTAAATATTTTGTCCTGTTTCATATAATCACAGACAAATAATAAAATTCCATTCAAGTTTATGTGGAGATTATAGTGCAGGAATTGTTTATTCTTTTTTTTTTTTAGTATAAGAGTTGATTTTAAAAGGCATAGGAACCATATGTATTCCAATAACTATTACACAAATTTGCAGAAGCAGAAGCAGCATTCTTATTGGGTACATATTTTTAGGAAGCCTCTTGCAAATTCTCTCAATATGAAAACTGTCAACAGTTATATTAAAAAATATATAAGCTATTTATTAAAAGCTCCACATTTACAAGCAGTTTATAATATTAATGGGTAATAATGGATGTCATAAGATACTTCCTCAGTATCCCCTGAGCTATTCATTATTTCTTATGATGTTAAACACATGTTCCAAGGTCACCTGCTATCTGGATTATCTTTTTCTAGATTCAGATATAGAAAAAATAACTTTGTGCTTAACAGAAGCAAATCTAGCTTATTGTAGTGTCATTAAAAAAATTGAATGTTTAATTTAAAATATAGTATAAATCCACTAAAAGATGTGACTTTATTAACTCATTAAATAAAGAGTAACTTAAAAGCAATTTTACTCTATAATGGTGGTTTAGATGATTCTATTCTTGTTGACATTGTGTTCTTGAAAAAGATCTATAGTTTTGTTCGCAGAGACGGTCCCTGACTAGTTTTGGATAAATTTCGGACCGATTTGGGATTAACGTTGTGCACTGGCATGATTAGTTACTAGTTTTTAACAGCTATTTCTCCGCGAACGATTTCCGGACATTTCTGACTGTTTCTAACCCAAAACATCAACATGCTGTTTTGTTTATATGTACAAGGAGGAACACAGACATTTGACAAAAATTTATTTTAAAGACGATATTGCTATATTGTCAAAATGGGTAAGTAAAAAATAGGGTATTAGCACAGAGTAATAAACAATTGTAATAATAAGCAATAATAAATAATAATAAATTGTTATTTATTTTGCGGTGCTAGTGTAGTAAGACGGAACAATGTCTACAGAGATGAAATTGATATCAATGACCCTGAACGTCCAGAATTTCCTCTAAATCCTCATCGCTGGATGTAAAATGATCGCTTATCTATAAATAATATTCATTTTTTAATACTTATAAATATATGTACTGTTTTTAGTTCCATATTTATAATGCAATAAAATATTAAATGACTTTTTTATATTTTTTAATTTATATCGCTAAAAAGATTTAGAGAATAAAGATTATATTCCCGCTTCTCAACAAAAATAAATAATAGGTTAGTATTAACGATTGACCAAAAAAAAAACAAACACAAAACCTGACAATTTACGGTTTCTATAGCGCTTGGGCAAACTAAAAATCCGCACTATAATCCATTAACCAAATGGACTGATCATGAACCAGTTTGGAACTCTCCGCGAACATTGAACTCTTTGTCAAAGTCCCGGATTTTTAACACCGCGAACGCCTGAAAACAGAACTGCGCATGTGAAACAGTCAGAAACCAGTCAGGGACTGTCTCCGTGAACAAAACTTATGATAACTTGAAAAGCAATGATTCTTTAAAACTTAAATATGAAGGCCACAACTAGGCAACCAGCTGGTTACATCAAATTCCATTGTTTTTTATGTCTATGGGGCAGCCAGAAAAAAATTTCAGCCAAAATAATATATGGATGAACATTAACATGAACAATAAGCTAGTTGGCTGAAGTGCAACCAGTTTATAACAACAAACAGTTTCTAAAAAAAAACTATTGGGAAAAACCAATACCCAATTTGTGAAGAAAAGTGAGATCCTAGGACAAAATGATTTTGATTCAGGCCATCACAAACCATATAAATCAGTTAAAAGCCAATTTAAAATTTGCTGCTACAAAGTGCCAATTAATGAACATCTACAGGTTAAAATAATTTTCTATTAATAATTTTTTGAAACCAGTTTCCAGATTGGACATCAAAAATGACAAGAAGAATTGTAAAATGTAATGTTTATTACAATCAATTGTGGATTAATGACTTATAAATACAATATTTAAGGTAGATAGATTAAATTAAAAGATTTACCATCTCTACCTATTTTTAATACTTCACTCACCTGAGTTATCTTCATCTGGTTCATTCTTCAAGTTTCCAAGATCAAGGGATGTAGTTAGCTGACTTTCTATATTATATCCTTGTTCATCTTGAGCAAGTTCTTTCTTAATTTCAGCTTTTATTTCTATTTCTAATAAATACAAATTACATCAAATTGTTTACTAAGTTTTATTAGTTATCTTACCTGTTTTGTCATCTGGTTTATCATTACTACAAGCTTCAATATTATTTGTTGATCTGTGTAACTGACTCACTGCATATCTTTCACTACAATTAAAAAAACTTTCCTTAACTTCAACTTTAAATTCCATAGTTAACAAATAAACAGTGTTGTTAACTCCACAACTGAATATTTCCGTAGAGGGCGCTTCAAAAATCCGTAGAAATCCGTAGAACCACAGAATACTAATCACAATTGTGATTAGTGTTCTGTGGTAGAACAGAAACATTGGTCGCGTTCACCAGATGCAAACGTTGGCAATCAGTTTCCGCTTTATTCTTCTGAACGGCTTGCTGAGTGTTGCAAACGTCAAACGTGTTTGGAAAGCGGTCGCCATTTTTGCAAGCGTAAAATATTTACGTTGAATTTTCTAAACTTGTTGACTATTAGCAAAAATATGGCGGGAATGGAAATTATACAAATTATAGAATATATTTATAATGGTATTGTGTATAAAATAACGGCTACCGAAGACATTCATAAAAGATTGGATGGTTAGGTTAGGCTAGCTATGTTATCATCGATTTTATTTTTTTATTATTAAAAAAATAATTCAAAAACTGAGAATATTTATTTTAGGTTAGGTTCAACCAAGCAAAATGTCAAATCTCAACCTCCACAATATCCGTTCAGCTCGTTGTCAACAAGTTTAAGAATCAAAACGCAAACAGATGTGAACATGTTTGCATCTGGTTTGATCTGGTGAACGCAGCCATAGCAATTTTTATGTATGTCTCAGCCACAATTCCCACAATATGACGAACGACGATGCAACACTGACTGCATACAGTGAAGGATCAATTCAATTGAAAATTTAAATGGAGAAAAATGTATGCTACATGACTCGAGGTGTAGGGTGTTTTAATAATCTACTGAGTACATACTTGTTTATGCAACAAATTTATTTAACAGAAACATTCATATTCCAAGAAAAATAAAAAAACTAGATATAAAAAATCTAAATAAAAAATATACAGAAAAATCAAATACCTATCTAACCGAATAAAAGCAACAATTAATCCATTAAGCCTTGTGACGTCCTCTCGTAGGAGTCACTATCCGGGTAGCTTTTGGACAGTCAGAGACAGAGTTCAAAATAAAAATAAAACTTTATTGTCTTCCTTAAATTAAATTGACAAAAATCTTATGTACATATTTACAATTTAGTTTAGTCTTCTCAGTACCTGGCCTATTTATTCAAATTAAGTTTGACCTTGTCGTATGAAATTAGTGTTATCGGCAATCAAGTGTGTTTTCGGAATTTTACGTGAACGATGTGTCGATTTAATAACAGCGGACGATAGGTACAAAGGAAAGAAAGAAACTCAACACGTCCCTCAAGTGATTCGGGTTAATAGGACACTCCTCGACAGTCTCAACACGACTGCTTCGGAGTACGGGTAGTGGAGAGCTCAACACGCTCTCCGGATAACGGCGGTATGGAACGGAAACAACTTGTGAACTCAACACGTCCACAAGCCGGGGTAGGGGAGAAGAGAACCTTCAGTCAACACCTGACGATTCTGCCTCTATGAGGAAATAATGCGGTTTATATAGCAAAGATTTGCCCTTTCTACTGTCGATACACTCCTACTTCATGGGTTGGTTCGCGCGCACGCTGGTTTAACGGTGATGGCTTGGACTCATCGTTACAGCCTTATCTTCTTCCTCGGATGATGACAATACTTTTTTTATGATCGTATAAAATTTTACTTTCCATATTAATAATGACATTTTTATCTATTGTTTAAATAAAACATGTTTTGTCTGCATCGTTAAAGTAGATCTCGTATTTATGTTGGGGCGGGGAGTCCCCGAGGTAAATCTCAGCATTCCATCTGAGATCACTGTTATTCCCTAAGCGCCGGGGATTCACCTGTTACGAAAATTGAAATTCATCCCTACTATTTTATAGATACCTTACCATAACTACCATTTTTATATCTCCTGCCATCTACTGAAAAAGGAAATAAGCATACAATAATGTGAAGTGCTAGACGGCTACAAGTAGAGTTCTTTTTCACGGCATTACAGAGGACTAGATGTCAATTAATTATTTGATTAATATTTCTATTTCTGTAAAAAGCTAAGAGTAAAAATTCTATTTTTATAAAAAGCTAAGAGTAAAAAATCCCAATTTTATTCTTGATTGCTTCAGCTGAAAAATCCGTAGAAATGTGATCGATATCCGAAAATCCTAAATAATTTCGAAAATCCGTAGATCTACAGATAAATCCGTAGAGTTAACAACACTGCAAATAAACTAAATAAAAATATTGGCAAATCTATAGAATAAGTGCCGAGAATTTGACATAAACGTCATGTCCATGTCAAATTTGTGTCTGCGGTATTGCCATGTCCTTATTATGTGTATGTTTTATGCCTCAAATATGCTTTGAAACAGTACATTTTTCAGTCGGTCAGATAGCTCAGTGGGCTGTGCGGCTGCCTCTCATTCGCTTCACTGTCGAATGGCTCAGTGGATGTGGGATCGAGCCCCAGCTCGGTGTACAGAAAACAAAAAGTCTAACGCAGCAGTTTAAAATTCTAGATGAATCTGCGGCTTAGACTAGAATATGCTGGGATCTGATCGGCCTATGGTGGAGCAGTACGGCAAGAGATAAGGGCTTGCGGCTTGGTGATACTCCTCCATAGATCCCTACCGGACGGGCGTAACGCCTAAAAAATCGGATATATAACAGTACATTTTTATTATATTATTTTATGAAATCGGATATTTTTTAAAATTTTTTGAATTTATATGAAACACGAACGAATGAATATTTGTTTCTTTTGGTATTAGTTGCAGTTAGTTATTAGAAAAAAAAAATTATAATTGGCCTTTGGTAGATTAGTAAATAAACTTGGCAATACTGTCAAAATTTTGAAAACTGTAGTTGCCAGATTGCAACAGATGTTTAGCAGATTTCAATTTTATGATTTTTATGACTATTTTCTTATAATTTTGGGGTGAAATGGTAACTGAATATCGTTTTGTTAATGTATTAGCTAGTTACTGGAGCTTGTTCAGATCGATATTTTTTCAAATTTACGTTGCAGAGATTAAATTATCATTATTGACAATTTAATCCTTAAAATGTGAATAACAAAGTAAAAATATATCGGTAAAGATGTTTAATTAAATTTAATAACTTAAGAATTTAAAAGCTTAAAAAATTAAAATTAATTTAAATTATAATAAATTAAATTTAAATCAATTAAACTTCTTTCAAAAACTTAAAAGAATGTTGAACATTAATTATTAATATTATATCGCATGCTCTTTCAAGGATTTATTTGTGATATGGCAACACTGCCAAATACAGATCTGTCACTAATCTTCTGTTAGTTCCTCGGCACTTGTTCTACAGGTCTGCCAAAATATTTGAATATGAAACATAAAAAAATATGTTTAACGGTTTAACAACCAAACAATATAAAATAGACGCTTTTTAAATTTTTAACTTTATCTTTAACCTTTAACAAAAGTTCATAGAGGCAAGCATGTCAAATGTCAACCATGGAAGAAATCTTTCGGTTTGGAGCACGGTTCGTAGACTTACTATGGTTGCCTCTTCCGACTAACCAATGAACATTAAACCCGAAATTACGTCACGAGTACAGTAATTTGAATCGTTACATTGTTAATCAGCGTTTTCATGTCTTTGATTTATAGAAATTACTAAAGATAGTTATGAAATAAAGATGTTTAGTGGATTATAATACATAATTATGGAAAACTGTTGATATGTAGATAGTTTGATAGGTACTTAAAATATTTCAGAGAAAAGTTCTAGATTTACATAAATCTAGGATTTCAATCTCCATTTTACACTGAAAATTTGTCGCATATACTGAATTATCAATACTGGATTAATTATTGAATGAGTTACCGGCCCTTAGTGGTCAACTAGGATTATCCGAGTTAGAATTACTTGTATAATAATATACCGTAATAATAGGTAATAAATTTTAATTGGTAAAAAACGTAACTAGTCCATTTTATTTTCAATAGATATAAATATACACTACATAATAATTTTTTTCATTTTTTTATTATTTTTCTAATAAGTCTTCAATAATAGCTGTTTGCGTTTTCTTTGCTAGTCTATTATCTCTTCTTGCTGTAGGTTCACATTTTGTTTGTTTTTAAACATCTTGAGATTTTAAGTTTTTACTTGGAATTGCTATAAAATAGTGATGATAATAAACAGAATTAGATTAAGTCAACACCTACCTCTATTCTTTAATTTCAACTTAAGCCTAGTTCCCACTATTCGAGCATACATGTCATCCACAAATCATCCTTGAAATGATTACTACATACTCTTGCAGTTTTTATAGTTATTTTTTCTTTTTTGCAACACCGCGTAACCCATATTTTTCTAATTTTGTATTTTTGGGAAACGTGAAAAATGATATTTGTTGATCAGAATCGGCAGACATCTTGTTTTTACAAAAACTATTTTTACAAGTAGCCACACTACAAGCTCTGCCTGGCATTTTAAAATTTCATCAACATTATTATAACGTAAATAGACAATGAAATTTTAAAGTTTTAACCCACCTTATAAAAAGATATTTTTATGTAAGGTACTCTACAATAGGTACGATGTACAACCACCGAACAACAACTACAATAAATAACTTTTCTTCGATAATTAAAAATAAGTTTTTACAGAAAACAACACCAAATTTTCAAATACAAAAATATAAAGTAAACTAAGATATAAAGTAAACAAAGATAATCATGAAACCGAAACTAATAACTGGAATAAATTCACAAAACAGTACATAAAAGGAAAAATATTACCGTACAGATACTTAATTTGACGATCTGAACGACAGCAAACAAATCGGTAGTTCAATTCACATTGATTAACATAGAAAGGAACAGGAAGTTGTAGACAAAACACCACACAGAAATTTCTGCACATGAAATCTCTTTCACATCAGCTTGACCTAAAGCATACCTTACAAATAATTCTCTTCTTATCAATAATCCAAAATTTTCAATTGATTGCCCATATATAACAGCTGCCGATATAACTTCTGACCATCGACCCCTTTTTTTATTACTCGATATTGTGATTCAATAAGTACGACTATAAAGGTAAATAAAGGTAAAACCAAGGCAAAATTTTGCCTCGATTAACCTACGGTACTTAAAAGTATATTCGAAGAAGCTTCTGAAGAAGCCCAAATTAAAATTACCTCCAATCGAGTTCAAAAATTATTCTGAGATTGCAGTCTAGGTTTGGCATAGAGGATCTCTAAATTGAATTTGTCCATGGAAAATATTGGAAAAACTGCAGAAGTTACAACTTTAAAAACACA